CAAAAAGCCCTGGCTCAAATTTGCACCGCTTCTATTTGAGGGTGCATCTACACAAGATGTTTACTGCAGAGCTGACTATTTAGCTCTGCAATAAACATATCAGTGTTTACACATGTGCCCCTAATAAACTATGCAGCAGGGTAGTATTTTTAAATACATGTTCTATCAAGCTGAGGAGCTCTTTTCATGTGCAGCAGTGCACATGTTGATGCCAACCTGGCTGACTGGGGAATGAGGGGGCTTCAGTGTGGGGGCTGCCTGCCAGGTAGCCGTGCAGTGAAGCACCCTCATGATCCAGCCAGTCCCTCCATAGGACATTGAACCTGGCTGGAGCAGGCTGAACCCCTGGGCCCTATACCTGCTGGGTCTGCTCTGACTGGGCTCCATGTGCTGCTCATGAATAACCTCCAGAGTTGATTGCTCTGGAGTTAATTGTTCACAGGTTTGCATTCAAAGGATGTGCCTGGAAGCAAAAAAACTCCAGAGCAATAAGCTCCTGAGTTTATTCAAGTACACTAAACACATATGTAGATGCGCCCATGGATTATAATAATATTCCAGATCATCCTTTATCACAGGAAAAACAAAGTCATAAAGGGGAGGAATGCCATGTGAGAATCTCTGTGATGGTTATTCAGTAGGGCCTGGATGAGAAAGCTCTGAATACATATGATCCCCCACATGTTTGGATCTCTGGAGAACAAAACTGGTTTGTTTTCCATATAGGCCTTACTTTATGTAAGCTACATTGCTTGAAGGGAGCCACATTGTTTGGACTGAAATATCAAAAGATTAAATTTAAAAAAATCCTTGGGGCCTCAGAGTTCTGTAGATTTGAGTAGTAACATTTCCTGGGTTGTCATGAAAAATAGGTATAGAATTTACAGGCATCAGAGGAAAATCTTTATATTATTAGAATTCATATTCATTGATTCATAATACATAGACTATCTTGTATTGCAGTTAAACTGTGTAGAAATTATTTTGAACTCTGGTAGCAATGTTGTTATTGAAGTGGAGACTATAAGCATACATTTTGAGATGGCTCCAATATAAAAAAAAAATTGGGAATATATATCAGAACCAATAGATAACATTGCTGTTTGTGTATGCTTGTTTCTGAATTAAGTTGCTTTCAGGATACTATTTGTAGAGGTTATTTTATAAGAATGTTTAGCATAATAAATATAATCATTAATATTGGCAAAGACTTCACCAAATGAAAAGGCTTACTTTTCTTGTGTCTGGATTTGCGTGTGTGTGTGTGCATGCTGAATTATCCTTTTGCTTTGCAGGCTCAGTAGAATCCAATACATTATATTGGATGCTACATACTGATCACCTCTAGTTTGTCTTGAATATAGCAAAAATATGACATCACCAGATGCATCAAGTACTCTACCTGTACAATATAAGAAAATAGACATTTGTGGAAATAGTTCCTAATTCAGAATATGCCTTTGTCTGCTTCCACATTATACTCTCTATTCAGCATCTCTCATTTTAAAGTATTTTGGGTTTCTCTGTAGAAATTCCTTTATGACAGGGGTTGGCAACCCCTGGCACACAGACTGGAGCATGGCAGACAAGGCCCTTTTGCTCAGCATGTTACTGCCAGCCTGGGCTCTGGGCAGCTGCTGCCGACCATACAGCCTGGGCTGCTCTCAGCAGGTGGCTGGGAGGCTGCAAGCCTTGCTGCAAGCAGCCATGGCTGGGAGCAGGTACCCAGAGCCTGGGCTGACTGCAGACAGGTGCACTGGGCTCCAGTGCCCCAGCATCAGCTCCATACAGACAGCAGCTATACATGCATCTCAGAGTAGATGGCAGGAGAGGGGCCTGAGGCAGGTCCCGGTTTGACTGGCCCTGAAAGCAAGGGATAAGGCAGCTTGTGTGGCATGTTCTGGAGAGGGCCAGTGAAGAGAAAAGGCACTATCTTGGAAACAGCCAGGAGGAAGAAGAAATA